TTATACTCAGATTTTCACATGTAACAAAGTATATTGTGATTTCACAATTTAACCAGAATGCCTGAATTGGCAAACTTATTTCATTCCAATGGTTGCTACCAGGATTCTTAGTGTAATTTATGCATAAATAAGTGGCAAATTCAAAATTTTGAGTAGCGCCCTCAGTGTCAGAATAGTGCACTGGTACGGGTCGGCTAAACACAGGACAGTCTTCCAAATATCTGGCAAGGTTTCATTCTATAATTTATCATGGCAGCAGCTAAACATGCCACTCTGAATGCTGGTGAGTCATCAAACGTGCTTTTCAATTCAGCCCGACATGTGATCTAAAGCAACTGCTACACAATAGATATCTTTTCCCTCGGTTCGATAGTATAGAGGGAAAATACTGTCTTCAATGTTACGGTGACAGTAATTGATGAGATGGGTGGGGCAATCAGATAGGAATAGCGGGAAGCAGTAGGAAGTTAGTCAGTCTAGTCAGCAGCTCACAGACGTTCAAGTTCAATTACATCAAATATTAATTTTAAAAGTTCATTTAGCTTTGCCCTTATGTGATAACAGTGTAGTCCGACACTGTCCCTGTACTATGTGCTGCATTGCTTTCGGACACAGGTTTCCAGAGAATTTCCCGCAATATAAAGTATAGGGTTTTTATCTCTGGTTTTTCCTGAGTGGCGGGCATAGTATAACAGGGAGATCACAACAAGTAACAGCCCACCCTGGTATAACGTGTCATGTAATAATTTCTTTTTCTATCCACGTCTGTAAATAAAGCTGCCGCATCTCTGGCTCATCAATAAGCTGCCGCATCTCTGGCTCATCCATCATTATTGAATGAATGAAGTGTAATGGAATTTATTCAATGGTATAAGAGTATAGTGAAGACTTCATGGAGACTTCCCGAGTGATAGCGCCCTCATCAACAAGAGGAAACTTCAGCAGTGATAGCGCCCTCATCAACAAGAGGAACTTTTCCTACCAAGTAGATGCGCCAGTTTACACCTATAATTCTTGCCTTGCCATTTTTCTCTGTATCTGTAGACCATACAACTCTCAATCAATCTGGTGCTTCTCTACCAATCACAATGCTCACTTGCAAACTTTATATTAAATGTCAGATTTTAAGTTTTGTTACCAAGCGTCATCAAAAAAGTTTTGCACTTCCAAGAGAACCAGTTATTCACATTTTCTAGGTGTTTTTTTTATAGCACATTCCATTAAAATAGGGGCATGATGCATTTTGCCCACATGTTTTTAAAAGCACGAGAATTTACTAAAAATTTGCATCTATAGATGGTTTTGGACAGTTTTACTGAAAAATCTCAGCCTATAGTTTCAACATTTTATAGTGTTAGAAATATTCATACTCTGACTTCATCCTTCAATACACACATCCTGATAGTATAAAAGTCGCATACTTTGTCCAATGTATTCGTAATAAAATTAGTGCGAAGGTTGCATCAACCAACACATACTTTGCAATATTCTTGTAATAACATCTCCAGTATTAATATAATTAAGGCTGGTGATGTAACCACATGCAGGTTTTTTTTTTTTTTAAATGGAATGGCAAATTCTATTGTTATTGGTGCTGGATGTACAAGAATGAATCCCATTTCCTCCAAATAAGTGAAAATGCAAACTAATCACAAAATACACACAAAATTATTATCCGGATTTGTTATATACATTTATTTCAGGAACATAGGTAGTATATAAAGCCTTTGGGAAAAATCACTGACAAGTTTCCTTTTATTATTCTTTAAACATATCAAATTTTACGAAACAAAAAAAAAAATTCCTACTTATCAGTTCACCTAGTCAGCAGAAATACAGAGTACTCATGATCATCAAAAGGGGAAGAAAAATGCAGTCTTTTTAAAAAAAATCAAAACTGGCAGCAAATAAAGTTTTTATTTAATCATCACCTTCAAAAATGTTATATTCTTATATTTGCACGACTTCTCTAAATACAGCAGAAACACACAGCTTATTAATACATCAGTGCTTTTTTGCACTTTGACCCATGAACCCAGGTCACGCAATTCACATATGTACTCTAGGGCTATTTAAACAAGGAAATAAAGGCAGAGACCACACTTAATGATGATGTATAAAAATAAAGAGGCCCACTGTATACAAGACATCCTGCTTTTTTTGCAGGAGACTTAATATTGGACAAGGGACTACAAAACCCTTGGTTCTTTGCACCGACATACAAGAGGTTGAGTTCTGCCATGCATTGTTCCAGTGTTATTAAATACCAATAGAAAACACAGAACACAAACTTGCTATGTTACAGCAAGTTTTCTTATGAAAACATTTACAGTAGTTATTCCAAAAAAATAATATCCCCAATTGTCTCTGTCATTACTATAAAAAAACAAAACAAAAAAAAAGAATAATTCCCCCAACAACTCTGAATTGCCTTCAGTACCCAAAGCAGTGGGTAAATAAATCTTAATGTTACAGCAATTAAGCTGAAGACAGAAATATATAAAAGTTTTCTTTACACTGAACATAATCCCAGTCTCAACTGTAAATTTACATTTATGCTACCCGCCTGGAATTGTCGCCAAAATCACCACTGAGCACCGAGGGATCAAATGCACAAGATGGTATAAATTATTGGCGAGTCCAGGACACATTTACTGAATAAATAATCTCTGGAATTTTTTTAATCTAGAAAAAGTTATTGTTGGAATTGCATCGAAATTTGGTAAACGGCAGTATTAACACATACATTCGCTCGTTCGTTCGCGTGCGTATACACACATACACTTTCTCACTCACACACACTCATCCCCATTATCCAATTGCTTCTTCATCACGACTGCTGGGAAAAGAATAGTACTTCAGCGATAAGCGAGTGCAATTTTGGATCTATTGCTGGTGACATAACAAGACTAAGAAGACGACTTTGGTGCTGTAGAAACAATGGCTGGTTTTCCTTAACCTTTGCAAGACAAGCAAGCGTTGTAGCCGCCCGTCTCATCATATCCCCGCTAGGCTGGGGAAGCTCTTCGCGTATTCCACTCATTGCAATTATACCTGGATTAGACATGGCATTTGTGGCGAGTTCACTATCCTCTAGGAATGAAAGCAACATAGATATGCTCGAGTTCTGGCATGCAATAGCACGGCAAGCAGCACTGTCTCCCTGCGACAGACTTGATAATAGCACCACGGCAAACTCACGGATTACTGGCTCCCTTCGGTCACCCATGCACTGCACAAGGTTTCTATAGAGTCTTTCTAATCGTGAAAAGGGTGGGGTAGCCAGTACCATGTCTACGTTATTGTCAAGTATACATAATTTACACAGAGTTTCCAGACTCAGACGCATAGGTGAAAGTGGGGAATTAGCCGATAACATCGGTAATGGATCCATGGCGTAAGCAGACGGACAAACCGCCCAGTGAAGTAGCCCATCTAAAATACCAAAGCTGATCCCCTCTGGATACAGAGACAGATCCAACTGGCCGGCAATGTTTGCAAGCGTCACCATTGTATTCTCCCTGACAGCATTCAGACAATCCCACCACCATTCATCCTTCTTAACCAATGGTTGCTCATCATCAATTTCTTCCTTCATATCATCCTTTTCGAATGGCTTGATATCCCGATTACGAATAGGGTGTCTGTGTTGCAGCAGCAGTAGTGTGCCCACCACATACAGGAATCCGGGATGTTTCGACATTTCAGTATCATTCCCTGGGATGAACGACAAGCTGCGGATTATATTGGACAGACCCACACACCTCCTGGTTAGATCATCCTGGCAATCATTCAGTACATTGAACGGCGGTTCGTCTCTGTCATACGCCTCGTCTTCATGAATCTTTGGACTACGAAAAAATGCCATCTGCTCCTCAATTTTCTTCTCGATTTCCTCCCTACTATCCACCCGCTTCCTCTCCGTTCCTTTGTATTTCTCATTGCACTTCTTTGTATTCTCAACCAAACAGTCAGCCTTTTCAAAGTTCAGAATTATATGATTAGTCGTATCACCCCCGCCCATTTGCCAGTGAGCACTCCCTGCTTCGAATCCCTCAAAGATGTCCCATAATTTCTCATCAGAATAAAATCCCTTAGAACATTTCTCCACTTTCACAGATTTACTCTTATCAATTCCTTTTAATTTTTCAATATCTATATTGTTGATTGCTTCATTCAAGAGCTCCTCCTCAGATTCCATGTTGTCACACACAGTTTCCGTATTCCGATCTACGCTTTTTTCAACCGCATCCTTATCACAGCCATTCTCCATCTTGACAACTCGCGACGACACAACATTATCCTCTAACTTCACTGCTGTATTTTTATTCTTACAACTTGTAATATCCCCATTGCACTTGTTTAGTTCACAACCTTTCTTTGTATCGGCAGATTTGTGGTTTTCCCTGACTTCAACGTCATCTAGGATACCGAAGATTTCAATTAGACATCGACGATAATGCTCCAGCAGAATTTCCAAAAGCCCAGGAAGATGTTGTAACTGGAAGTATGTGACTGTATTGTCATCAAAAAGTAAAATACTTAAAACATCTATTGCCCATGTGCTTTCTGCCAATAATCCAGACTTCAGACACATCATTACACGCCAAGCTTCAACCGGACCTAGGAGCAAAGAATAAAAAATAATTTCTATTTATTGTATTTTACAATCAAATTCCCTATTGTATGGGAAAGGAATAAGCGGAATATAGCTACAAAACTTTTGACACAGGAATTTCCAAAAACTGGCTATGCAAACCTTTTAGCACCAAAGAATTGGTTATTGTATTAGTAAAATCACTAAGTAGAACCACGAGAACACTAGATGACAAAAGCAATTACGAGAACACTAGATGGCAAAAGCAACCACTAGAACACTAGATGGCAAAAGCAACCACGAGAACACTATATAGCAAAAGCAATTACGAGAACACTAGATGGCAAAAGCAACCACGAGAACACTAGATGGCAAAAGCAACCACGAGAACACTAGATGGCAAAAGCAATTACGAGAACACTAGATGGCAAAAGCAACCACTAGAACACTAGATGGCAAAAGCAACCACGAGAACACTATATAGCAAAAGCAATTACGAGAACACTAGATGGCAAAAAGCAACCACGAGAACACTAGATGGCAAAAGCAATTACGAGAACACTAGATGGCAAAAAGCAACCACGAGAACACTAGATGGCAAAAGCAATCATGAAAACACTAGATGGCAAAAGCAATCATGAAAACACTAGATGGCAAAAGCAACCACGAGAACACTAGATGGCAAAGCATTGTTGTTTTTAGTGTTGGTATACAACACATCTATCATCAACTCAAGTCTTGCACTCAATCAATGTTTTTAATTCACAAAATTTCTCTCAATTTCTTCCTCTATGTATGTTAGACTTACCAACATCACGTGATGTTAATTTCTTCCTATTTTTGAGCACAGGATGAGTACATTCAATGCTATCAGGAGGAAAACAGATCTCCTTTTTAGCATGTACCATCATGCTGGATGCAGGCATATGTGTTTGTGATTTCATCATCTTGTTGCCTTTCTCACGGTTCATATGCTGTAACTGTCTCTGTTGCATGTGGCCTGGCATTGATGGGTTATACATAGTTATCGAGGATCCGGCATGGTGAGAAAGTCCGTCAACAAAAGGTTTGTTTTGATGCATGGTACCCCACGACGGTGATGGTCCATCCCTCATCCGCATTTGATCCGGCATAAAGTTTTCCCGATGTCCTGGCATGTGGCCCTGTCTGGTTGGGTATGGATATTGGGAATCGCTCCGATTATTCCACGGGATGGGGCCTTCGTGTGATGGCTGTTGCATCTGTCCAGGTCCTGAAACAATGGTTAAGTGAGAAGAAACAAAATTAATTTTTTTAAAACAGGCTTAGTAGAATTCCAACAGAAATAAAGTGCAAGTCAGAATATGGGGGATGTTATAAATGGTTTATAAATAAAAAAATTTTAAAAATCAAATTGTTTGAATTAAAGTTGATCAATCGAGAAATGATAGTCGCATCATTGTAATTGTTAATTACTATTGATGAGTTAATTTAGTACCTAATCAGAATAAGTGGATTATCACAGTTGCCATGCCAACTTAAAGGGCAAGATGACCACTACAATTAGTATGCTAATTCAAACCAAGCCACTCACATCGTGACAGGAGCTCCGGGAATTTAAAAAATACTGAGTTTAAAATGGCGGCTAATGTATGCAAAATGCCTGTCAATCACAGTTTGAGTAAGCGAGCATAATAAGCATTCATTTACTTAGTGGACAGAGGCGGAGTTAATTACCCATGAACACATGGTGCAATCCATGGGATTGAGCGGTTCCCCTTTAAAGACATGCATGTGCATTATATGTGACGACAATGTTGATCTCTTGAGCCAATCACTATGAAGTATTTGAATGAAAAACGATAATTGGCATTTGCATGTATATAAATATATTTATTAAACTAGGATACAGCTTTCTGCCTTTCACTGTACAAAAAGAAGATATTCAATAAAATTGTAATGTTGCACACACATATGCCACATTAAGTGAAATGTGCTGTTTAACTTTCAGATTTGATTTGAATTATGTCAATATCACGTGACCAATATGTTTCAACAATCAAATCAGAGAGGGTCGTAATCTGTAATCTATTGTTTTTATTATCGTAATTTAAGTAAATTCATGGACATGGGCAAGGTGTAAAATGTATTCAGCTATTTCTTCATTTCCGTAATTTGTACAATGATATTTTGGTATGCGTATTTTCAGCATTAAATGTCGCAATTCCTACGCAATTTCCAATTTTGATTTTTAAACACAAATTAACTAATATATAATACAAATTAAATTAGGAATTCGCTTTTTCTGTAAAGGGTAAAAATCTATTTTTTACTGTAAATGGAACTTTCATTTTATTTCATAAAATGCATTTTTTTATTTTCTGTACTGTACCAGCTATTCCCCTTGCCCCCCCCCCCCCCCACTTTGTGACTTGGGACAAATCACGGGAAAGCTGCAAAATTGTTGGGGGGTTGAACAATCTTCATAGACTGCTCACATTATATGCATTAAACAACGTTATATGGTTTACGTCAGTTCGAATTTTTTTAGTAAGATCCAGTAATCATGACTAACGTATCATGTTGACTTGTCTTACACAAAACATACTACTGTAATCTGGTAACTAATTAAATTCAGTGAACGACAAAGTTTTTTTTCTTAAGACAGGTTAAACACAATGACTTTAGTAAAATGAAGTCTCAACGAAACAGACATCTGGCAACAAGAAATACTCTTGATAAAGACTGGATGTGTACAAACCCTGAGGTGCCATAGGCCCTTGGTTAAGTCGATCTCGGTAACCGGGAGAATACTGCATATGGTTTTGTAGATTTCGATCTGGATATGCATTCTGTGACATTGGACTTTGCTGATTGTATGGTGGCATAGGATAACCTTCATCGAGTGGTGGTCTGACTCCGACAGCTGTACGCTTTGTGGGTGGACCATACATCTCTCCCTGTATACATTAGAATATTATTTGGAGTTTATAAAAACCTGGGTGACTTTAAAGTACACTCGCAATATCATTCAACTGAACAATACAATATACAATTCATCAACAGGAGAACTTTAAAGCCACGCGCAACAATGATACACTGTATTTGTTTTATCAGGAGCGTATGCCAGACGTTTTTTTCCCCTCAAAATATCAGATTGAATTTATATCCATTTGATCCAGGATGATCACAAAAATTATAATTTAAAAAAAAAAAATATTCAAAAATGTTGTACCAAATATTCAGATTCCTACCTGTGGTGCAGGCCTCTTCTGTTGGAATGGGGACTGAGGGTATGGATGCTGCTGCTGAGGTTGTGGAGGACCTTGCGGTGTGAACTGTGGCTGACCAGGGTAAGGCTGATTGTACCCATCATGTGGAGTATGCGCTCTATGCCCAGGATGGTGCTGTGCAGTATATCTATTAGGATACACTTGCTGGTCCCCGCTACTTGGTGGATACTGCTGCATCATGCCGCTGTGTTGTTGTTGTTGCTGTTGCTGCTGCTGCTGCGACTGGGGTGGTGGATGCAAGGGTTCAGGCACTCCTGGACCACTGGGTTGGTCAAACCTACAGAAAATAAGACAACACAAAGACAAATAAGAATAGGTCAACAGCGGAACATGAACAACAGCATATCAGGCACAGCTTCTTGCTCGCTTGAAAGCAAAAGTATACATTAATGTAATGCTCTACAAACTTTACTAATCACACACAGTGGCGTCATTTGTTTTTTGTAAATTGTTTCCCATTTAAAGAACACATAAAAACTGAGCCAAAACGACCCTTGTGGTACTAAAATGAATATGAATGAATGAATGAATGAATGAAATTTATTTCACCAAAAAAAAAAAAAACGGTAAAGGTAGAAGTTGCACAGGTAGTAAATATATATAAATAAATTAATAATTAAATAAACAAATAAATAAATAAATAACGAATTCTACTGAGATAACTTTTCTTTTTTTGGTGGGGATTACAGATATAGTTCATCAGAACTAGTCGAGTCCGTAATCCCTGTATATATAATTTCAAATTTTAATCACACAAATCTCCAAATAAAGAATATGCATGATAATGTCCTGTTACATAGCTTGAAAGAATTGTTCCAACTAGTTATTTTCAGGTGTTTATTCTTTACCCCATGAATATTCATATGGTACCACAGCATATAACATGAATTACTAGTAAAATATACAAAAACAAACTAAAGGCCCTTTAACTGTATAAATAAAATATTAATTAATCGAGTCATTATCGAGGTGTTTCATGTCAGAGTCAAACATAGATGAGTTTGCAATATTAGTGGTTTTGGGAGGGCAATATTAGCGGCTTAGAAAGGGCAATATTAGCGTTTTTTGAGAGGGCAATATTAGCAGATTGTGTGTGTAGGAACTCTAAACCGCCCAATACAAAGCATCATGTGCGGCTGAGATGGGTAGTAGCTGACAAGCTCCTAGATTTGTTTTAGCATCATTTTTTCCCTGCCAACTTTACAATTAAAAATAAGTAAAAAGCTGGAGTAAAACTGATGCAGGTGTTAATATGATGCACTAAATCACTTGAATAAAGTAGATTCAATATTCCAGTATGCTGTCCCTACTGTCTCAGAATCACAAAGGAGAACCCCTGGCTCAAGTGTCATTTTATAAAATGTCACAGAAAAAAAATTTAGCATCCCTGCATTACTAGTAGTTTTTAATTTAAGTCTTAATTACAATAATGATAATTTCTCAATTCAAAATGAATGCCAAAAAGATGCAGAACATTAATCCAATGAATTAATATTATTTTCTGAATATTAATCAGCAAGGAGTGCACTCTCTCTGAACTCTGTCAAACAGACTCATGAATAAACACAATAAAATTGATATAGTATTTCACATGTACGCAATTTAACGAGTAGCAACCACGAGATGAATGAGCAGACTATAGGGTTCACATGAGGACATACACACATAAAGCAACGTGACAGACAACAATGCCTTGATAGATGGGTTTGTGTGTATACCTTTCACTTTTCATGTTGTGTTTATTTTCATCAATTTTCCCAACATTGCCGGCCCTTCTCTGTCTTCTGGATGGACTGTTGGTTAATAACACACATTTATTGCATTACATTATACCACTGTTTGGGACAAGTTTGAAGCCTTTGAACAAAAGACCGGTATTAGCCGTCGTCTTTCTGTCACTTTCAGAATATTCTTACCACCCAGGGCTGCTGAAATAATTGTACCACTTCAGTACTAGAATATTCAGGCCAATATTTGATTGGTTTTCGGGAGTTACCTTGACTCTAATTTGGAATGTACACAAGAGCTCAATTATTATAAAAGTGCCAGAAGAGAACTACTGCCCTCTTTTCTGCAGGAGAATCGTTCAAACATGTATTTAGGAGATTAAAGCGGTGGGATCATCACCTGTGCATGCAAAGGAATTGAGTCACATGCAACGATATTGCTTCACACTGAAACGCAAAGGCTTTTAAGTTGATGCACTGTGGCCGTCAACTGCATGAACAGGTGACTCCTCTCTCTCTTTAATACTTTTACTGTAAAATCCTTAATTTTCGCCGAGAAGATTCAGTGAAAATAAACTCCAGCTAAAATATAGTATTTTACAGTAAATTTAAATATGGATTCAAAGCTGTAATGAAGCAGGCAAACGTCTCCAAAAAACTTAATAAGAATGAATATTTGTTTTGAAGAACAAATTAATGCTTTAAAATATAATACTTTCTAGGTCAGTTTAGCCAAGACGAACCAGGATACTGAAGATAGCCAGCAAAGGATTATGGGAAATCCATAATGTGCTCAGATTATCTAGTACTGAATGGTCTTATGATAAATGTGGTATAATATAACACACAAGTTCGTTTTGAGTCTCACTACTTACCTTACAAGACAATATACCCAAAAACATGGAAATGTGTTCATTTTATTCTTAAATTAAATTTATTAAGAATTTCACCATAGCTGCATTGATACATTGTTGATCAGAATGCAAAATTTCTTATTGTTTTTTTGTGGTTTAACAGTATAAATTCACATGATGAAATTCATAGTGTGTCCGTTTTAGCTTTATTAACGCATCACCTGGTGGAGGAACCAGACAGCTGATATGAAAGTATTGACAAACAATGTGTTGACATATGCACCTAATGACAGACAAATCTGTGGCCAAAGTAAGCTATAATTCAATAATCAATAAATCAAAGCATATACCGGTACATGTGTGCGTTTCCGAAGACCGGTTTACATCATCAGATTTATAGGATGAAATTGAACGTGTCCAATATACATAAATGCAAACTGACATCAGATTTAGCAGTTTACTGTAAAATACTTTATTTTAGCTGGAATCAATTTTCGCTGAAAAGGCTTTTTGGGTGTTTTTTATTTTCACTGAATCCTCCCTTCAGCGAAAACAAATTCCAAGCGAATATAAAGTATTTTACAGTACACAATCTGATGCTGAAATTCAGATATGTTTTTTTAGAATCTGTCAGACGTCAGATTTTGCGGTTTACACATGATTCACCCGTCAGGACTGTCAAATCAGATCCTGTAAACTGGCCTTAAATATGATAGCACGAATTTTTTCATTTGCGGCATTATTTCGACGTGTCTATTTGCTAGGTAGTCATGAATGTGATAGTGTTAATACTAATTTCAAAGGTGTTGGTGCTATTTTCGTCTTGCATGTAGTTTTATACCCAAATTTTATCACAAAACGTTTTTTTCATAAGAATTATTGAATTTTATTATCACAATCTTAAAATATGAAACAATGTCATAGTGAAAGTGTACAGAAATGTTTTTGTGTCATTTTAGCCATTCAAACTAACTTTCAGCCAATGTAATCTAAATGTGTAACAAAGTGCAGCACATCATGTCATAAATCAATTGTGACAGCACATCTCGCCCCGAATTATTGATGCACAAGACTGACTGAAGTCTGAGAATGTTCAACTATTACTGCCTGGCCATTTGAAATAACTATTTATGTTAAGTTAATTACACCCCTTTCTAATCACACCTTTCCATTGAAAATTTATGATGCAAATAGTGCAAAAATAAATCACGACTAGATAAGGACCCATAGTTGAAATGAATTCAGCTGTATCTTAATATCAACATCAGAGGGCACTGATCCCTCCAAGTCAATGAAATAAAAAGAAAGTCAAAAGAAATGTGATTTATGCAAATTAGGCAATTAGTATAATTTAATTCTCAACGCAAAACTAATCAGGTCTGTGCATTGTTCTAGAACACCATGTGCAAGGTGGCACAGACGTACATGTACGCACACAGGGTCAATTACGACTGCAGAATATTACGGTAAAATCTATATTAGAAGCTGTATCCCTAATAGAAGTCACACCCATTCTTTTTAAACATTTGAGAAGCAAAAATTCATTGTTACTCATATGTGTAGATGCTCTTATAGAAGCCGCATCCCCTCTGTTGCATTGTACCATTTTAATAGAAGCAGCACTTCTAATACAGATTTTACAGTAATGATGATTTAAAAACAGCATTCCTCGAAGGAGGGGGGGGGACAACAATTTTACAGTACAGCATATCTGAATTTGTAATAACAATCCTTGACAAATATACCAGATAAACTTTGGTAAAGACTGAAGACTGACAAGAGCAAGTAAGCGTTTCCTTGACAAGTCAATATTTAAAAACTTTCTGTTGGAAAAGTAGGAGACAGCTGGGAACCTGTAAATATAATATGCAACAACATGAGATGAATGTGTGTTAAAACATAGGACCAGAATAGATAGTGTCACCTCATTGGAAATGTACAAACGTACAAGATTACATTACATTAGTCAATAACACGCTGACTTACTTTGCTACTGCCACAGGAGACACTTGCTGTGGATGCAGAAGTGATTAAACCTGACAGCTGTTCAGAAATACCACCATATCATAGAAACTGACCCAGGCATGAAAATAAAACTTACCTGTCTCTGTCAAACTGGTTGCCATATTGGTATTGTGCTCCCGGACCTTGATTCATTCCCATACCACTTCTCCTCCTGGGATCGAACGGATCCATGGAATTGCCACGATACACATCAGGTCGCCGCCCAGCAAAAGAATCCGGAACGTTCCGATTGGCAGAATATGGATCGTTGATAGAGTTTGGTTGGTTAGTAATTGCACCGAATGGATCATTGGGAGCCATAGAGTTATTAACAAATGGATCAATTGAGTTCATTCTGTTATTTCCATCGTTATAAGAGTTGGGCATTCCAGGAAATGGAGCATTTGATGGGGGAAAGTTTCCAACGTCATCAGCGAACGGATCCTGCACACTAACGCTATTGCTGCTATTACTTCGAGGCGGGACCATGCTATTGTTTAACATGGGTCCCATTATACCAGACGGGGGCATTGGTGACATGTTGTTGACAAGCGACGATGAGCTCAGAGCTGAGGATGGTCTTGGGTATTCATGGTGTTGGCCTGTCGGAGTAGGTACGCGATCTGAGCTGATTTGTGATGGAGGTCTTTTAACTTCACCTGAGATAGAATTTGGTAATGACTGCTGAGACGAGTCATCTTTCAAGGAATCTGTAAATACAACAGTTATTTTCAAATGAAGGTGTATAAATAATAAGGCGTAATGCAACATAGTGTACAGCCAACCATACAAATCTCCCGCTCTATTTCTTCATTATTTAAAAATCTTAATTGCACAATTAAAAGTAGAGAAGTTTGTACATCCCTTATTGAAAAAAAAACAAACATATATACTGAACAATCAAACTAAAATCAAAGAAAGCTTAGAAAGAACTCCCATGTGCCGAGAGTATTGGAGACACATTAAATATAATTCAAAATTACTTAGCTGAAAACTAATTATGCAAATCAGAAAATTAATATGACCAGATTTGAGTGTAAAACTAATGAGGTCTGCGCAATGTAACAGAAAATCTATGTCTCCAAGTTTAATTGAAATGTGATTAGAACCAAAAAATTATGAATTATTATGCTTATTAGGGAATTAATATGAACAGATTTTTACCCCAAACTAATTAGGTTTGTACATTGTCCTAGAGCATCTTTGTACTAAGTTTCATTGAAATGGAATAATTAGTACCGTGAAAACTCCAAAATTTCGACCCCTCTAAAAATTCGATTGGCTATTTGTTTGCCGGGTTTCTGTGTTTTATTTACCTCCAAATTTTCGTCTCCACTAAAAATTGCCGACTCATTCTTATTCGAAAATTGCGACCAGTTTTAGTTTTCCCCCAAACGAAAAAAAAAACCGATGTGAGCGTTCAAACGGGACCTTCCTCGAAGGCATGAATCCGGGTTTCTGATTGACTGAGAGATTTTTATTTTATTGGTAACGAAAATATATTCTAAATAAACGAAGTTTCAAATAAAAACGAACACAAAAATCTCGGCATGCTGCGTTTCTGAATTGTTGATTATTACTGTACTCAGTAGTGATTATAATAATGTACACAAAATAAATTTGTTGAATGGTTATGAAATACAAATAAAAGTCAACTAAGTTTCATCGTAAGCGAATGATTCCGGTCTCGTATAAACGTTTGATGCTGTAGGATATCCGCCATGTTCTCTTAGGTCAAATAGGTCAAATCGCTAATTAACCAATCAAAAAGCTGGATGATGCCAACGTGTTCAAATTACCATAGCTTATTTAAATATGTTAATGTTATTGAACGCAATGCGAAGAGATTGATGTTGTAGTACGATATTTTGGCTTGGATTTTGATGCGAAAACGGCATGATTTTTTTTTAAATAAAAAAATTAGTTGTTTTTAAAAAATAAACTGGTCATCTGAAGAATAATTTAACATTGTTCACAGTGATAACAGCTCATTCTCGAAAGGAAGCTTACCCGCTCACGCTAGTCACGATAAAAATCATACACGTGTACTCTTGAATAGACAGACGTCAATGA